AGCTGAAATCTTAGTGCAGAAGTGTGGAAGAAATCTGCTGTTCTGGGAGCAGCCTGGCTGTTCCTGAACAGTGGATTTGCGCTCCCTGGCAGTGACTTGGACTTGGGAAAACACGGCTGAGTTGCTCAGAAGGAGAACAGACCTTTCCTTCAGTCCTTCACTTGGGTTCCGTTTGCATCGGCGCCTTGCAGAGCGTTGCAGGCATGCGCCCTCTTGCTGCCTTGTCCAAGACCAGGATGAGGAGTTGAGGAGATGCTGCCAAGGTTAACAGCCAGTAAAGGAGCGGGTACATGGTCAAGGATTGCCAGGATACCCTTCTCTCTGAAGGAGGTTGTGCTGTTTATTCCCTCCCTCCTGGTTCCGGGGAAGTGGTGTGCAGTCTGGGGGCAGCAAATGCGCATGGGAAGAGGCAAAGCTGAGGGGGAGCTTTGGCTCATTTGCAGGGAAAACATCTTTTTGTTGTTCTGCATAAAACCAAGGCAGAAATAACCACTGGTACTGCTTGTTCAGCAGAGATTTATGCTGTCTTTGGAGGTAAGAGCTGTCCGGTGGGATTGCGCGTGGTGGGAGCTGAGCCACATCCCGGCAAACTGTGTGTGAGTGGGCACAGGGCAACATCCCTGTGAGCTCTGGGCACAGCACGGGCACAGGGCAACATCCCTGTGAGCTCTGGGCCACAGGATGGGCAGAGGGCAAAGCCCTGTGAGCTCTGGGCACAGCACGGGCACAGGGCAACATCCCTGTGAGCTCTGGGCCACAGGATGGGCAGAGGGCAACATCCCTGTGAGCTCTGGGCACAGGATGGGCAGAGGGCAAAGCCCTGTGAGCTCTGGGCACAGGATGGGCAGAGGGCAAAGCCCTGTGAGCTCTGGGCACAGGTATAACACAGGGAACATGCAGCTCCAGGCTTGGTTTGGAGGTTCCTTTCAGAAATGCCATTGTGGAGGAGAGCGATTGGGATTGGCATTGCCACAGTCAGGGTATGGCTCTGTCCCCTCAGCACACCCTACTTGGTTCTCCCTCCTTGCTACCCCTAAAGCTGCTTTTGAAGAGTAACAGACTTTGGCTCAAATGGCATTTTGTGCCCCTATCCTTACTAGTCTCAGGATTTCCCAGTTTGTGGAGCACGTAGCCTGTGACACACAGATGTCTTTCCTGGGGCCAGGAAAACTGAGATGGTGTTGGCCACAATGCTGTTTCTATATCTAAAGGAAGGGTGAAGGCCCAGTGTCTTCAGGACTCTTGACTTTTAAAGCTGTATTTCCAAAAGCCTGGAAGCTGGAATCTACATCTCTTTGATGTGCAGTGAAGCTGAAAGTGCATGTATATTTTCTCTTATTTATTCATTGAATTTTATTGTGTTTTTTTTTCTTTTTTCAAATACTGGAAGTTATTTTTATGGAGGAAGAGCTCCAAAAATGTGCAGCAGCAGCTTTTGAAGTGTTAACATCACTGAACGTGGTTGGCTATGAACAAATGCTGCTTCCTGTCCCAGTGGCTGGAGCCACTGTCCCCATGGAAGAAACAAAGCTGAATTGCTATGGATCTCAGTTATAAGTGCAGCAGGAGCAAGGACAGCACAGGCTGTTCAGTGGATCTCAGTGGTGCTCTGAGGCTGACTCAGAGCTGCTGGGGCCAGCACTGCACCATCAGGGCTCACACGTGAGCTGGACCTGCCAGCATCTGCTCTGCCCTTGCCAGGTTTGTCTCACCCACGGAGATTTCATCTGGGAGGAAGCAGCTTGAAGCACAAGCAGCTGCTGCTGGGGAAGAATAGCATCAGCAAACCAAATCTCAATTATCTGTGTCCATCCTCTTCGTGGCATTATCTATTTTATGGTGTTAGAACCTGTTCTGGGGGTGCGATATTCCCTGGTCCCACTGCACACCAGTTGTTTTTGATGAGTGCTGCCCACCTCATCTGTTTGGAAAGCAGGTGGGATGTGCAGACCTTTTCTCTTGCCATGTTTGAATCCCATACTATTTCTGCAGTGATGTGGCAGAGGGAAATAGAGCCAGCACGGGACACTGGACTCTGACACATCAGCTTCTCTCATCAGGGCTGGAAGTTGCTTTGTATCAGTTTTGAACGTATCAGTAATGGGAATTAGGGGCTTTGGGGTGTTGATCGAGGCCCTCTGGACAAGGGCCTGGAATGACAGGACAAGGAGAAATGGCTTCACCCTGACAGAGGGCAGGGTTAGACTGGAAATTGGGAAGAAATTCTTCCCTGTGAAGGTGGGGAGGCCCTGGCACAGGGTGCCCAGAGAAGCTGTGGCTGCCCCTGGATTCCTGGCAGTGTCCAAGGCCAGGTTGGACAGGGCTGGGAGCAGCCTGGGACAGTGGAAAGTGTCCCTGCCCCTGGCAGTGGGTGGAATGAGATGGGCTTTTAGGTCCTTTCAAACCAAACCATTCTAGGATTCTACAATCCCTCATTAAGAGGGTGAGGAGCTGCTGAGCACAGGAAGGAGGTGGATTAGAAAGGTTGTGCTTCCACAGGCAGGGCAGTGCTGCCCCACGGCACTTAGGCTGTGCTCACTGTGAGAGAAGCCTCAGACAGAGCTCTTGGGGCTGAGAATTACAGCTCTGATATGAACAGAGGACCTAGAAATCTGTTGCCATCTTCTCACCCAAAAGCTTCCTGGAATGAGATCAGGGTGCACAGAGCCAGGGGAGGACTCATGGATTGAGGCCATAGCCAGGGTGGGCCAAGCCCTTTCTGCCTGGAGCTGTGCTGTTTCTGTCACACTGCTGTGCCCCAGCAGGTTAACGGGAATCTTTGCTTTTTCATTTTCTTTAGCAAATACCAATTCCCTGGGGGCATGGGGGTCCTTTGCCTGTCTTCTGTGTTTAACTGAAGTAGTGCTAGTGATGATTCTGATTCTGTAGTGGATTTATTCTCTGTAGTTAGTTTGCTGAGGAAACCACTAAAAGCTGTTCTTCCAGTTGAGAAGAGCTAATCTGCATTTGTAGCTGGAAATAGCATCTCCTCTCTCCATCCTTCTATGATAACCAGCTCCTTTTGAGTCGTAGGATCTTGCAGTGTGTCCTTGCTCCAAAGGACCTGCACAAGACATGGGTGATTCCATCAGCTCTTGAACTTAAGCCTGGTAATTTTGCAGGGCTATCAGTGCCAGGGAGGTGAGGGATGCTCTGGGGTAGCTCCTGCCCAGTGCCAAGGGGAAGCCAAGTGCCCTCTGCTTTCCCACGGAGCTCTCTGTCAGAAATGGGTCGGGTTTTGTGCTGCTCACATTAAGATGAAAGAAAGCACAGGAGAGAAACAGCTTCTAAGAGGCTTAAAAGCAACAGGCTTTCTTTTCCTCCCGGGAAAGGCACACAGCCAACATCTTGCTCTTTACAGATCTCTCTTAATAAGCAGAATATTGCATTAGAAGCAACTGAGCCTGCCAAGTAGGAGCAGAAGGGCCCTGCACCCCAGAGCTTCCTCCACGTGTGGCTCTGGGACCCATGGGCTGTCACCCTCGTGGCTGCCATCCCCTCCTGGCCAGGGTGGCAGCACTAGTGGCTGGCTCACCCTGGGGCTGTTGCTTCATCTGATAGGTGTTGGTGGAGTGGCTGGTGGATTCCTTCACTCCTGCGTTTTCTTGCCAGCTGTTTTGATGGGAGGAGTGAGGCTGGGGAGTGTTGAAAGATTATGAGAAAGCAGCATCTGAGCAGGAATGGGAGGAGATCTATTATGTTAGAAAAGCTATGGGCACAGTTGGCCTGTGAGGGCAAGGAAAGCTCCCTGGCAGGCTGGTGTCCCCAGGTAAGTACTCTGGGATGCTCTGGTTGGACTGGGCTCACCCAGAACCCCTGCAGGTATAGGGACAGGAAGGTCTGAGGCTGCTGGATGTGCAGGATTGGCTACTTTGAAAAGAATAAATCCTCCTTGTCTTCACATCTCCACTGAACTAAAAGGAGCACGGCCCAGTTTGTAGCTTTGTAGGTCACTGAAGGAGAAGGGAGGCTCTGCAGTGTGCCTGGAAATGCTCTGTGCCATGGCAACTCTGCTTCCCTGGTCTCTTAAGGAAGAAACTGGAGTGAGAAGCAGGAGGAAGATGACCCCCAGCTGCCCTGGTGTTACTCTTTGAAGCTGTGTGGCTGCAACACCACTTCTGATCTTGGGGGGAAATTGTAGTCAATTTGGAAAATGAAATATGGACATCCTGGGGGAGACCTTGTGCCTGTCAGTAATCTGCTCAGCTCCTGGGGGGATCAGTGCATGAGCAGCCACAAGTGATGGTGCTCCTCCAGGGACTGATTAAATTTCCTGCTACCTTGCAAGGAGGCTGCTCCATGGCAGGGAGTGTGAACTAGGAAAAAAAAGGAGTAGAATAAAGCAAAGCCATGCAGGTGAGGGAGGGATGAGTCTTCCTGCCGTGCTTGCCAAGTCTGGCTCTGCTTGACCTGGCAACTGCAGGTGGAGGTGGCTGAGCCCCACAGGCCCCTCTGGGCACACCTGCAATGCAGAGCTGGGGCAGCACTGGCTGCCTGGCCTGGTACCTGTGCAGCCTGTGCCGTGCTGGGGAGGTTGGTGTGCTCTGGGCTGGCTGCCCAGCACGTGGCACTGGTGCCAGCCAACGGGACAAGCAGGGTCACATTTGCTCCTGGCCCGTTGGGGTGGAGGATGGAGCTCCCAGCACTGCTCCCTGGGCTCTGATAGCAATGTCACCCTGTCCCATGCCTGATGGCAGCTGTCCCAAGCACTGGTGAGCAGCCTCTCACTTGTATTTCCCAATTTAGTCACATCTTACCAGCTATAACTGAGCCAGTGGAAACAGGGAAGTCGGGTTTCTTGATGTTGTTGCACTTCCTTGGATCTCAGAGCGTGTCAGGAGGGCTTTGCCACGTGCCAAGGACACAGAGCCTCATGCCTGCCACTGAGGGGCACATGGGCTCCTGCCCAGGGGAGAGAAGGGCTTTGGTTTGGCAGCCAGGATAATGCTGCAGTTGTGACTCCTCTACATCTAATTCCCTTGCTGTCTCCTCTTACACAGATCCAGTGGAAGAAGCTGCTTTCCAAACTACACTGCTTGCAGGAGCTGCTTCTTTCAGCTGTCAAGGCCTCTGAGCTGTTGCTGAGGGGAAGAGGACAGGTAAATTCTACCCCATGTAAAATAACACCTCCAGCTGTTAAATATGGTCTTACCTTAACTCACTGGATTTATTTAGAGATTTATTTAGAAAGGCACCCTCTGTCCTGGAGTTTGCACATCAGGCTCAGGATGGGGGTCCTGCCATCCCTCAGGACACAGCACTGTGTCACTGAGGGTGGAGGTGGGGGCTGTGGGAAACTCTTCCCCACCTTTGGTACCCCAGTGATGCAGCCAAGGCTCTTGGCACAGCTGTTCCAGCCCAGCACTGCCCTGAGTGTGGCCATGCAGTGCAGAGCTGCCCTGATGAGCTGCAGTGCACCATGTGGCTTTACAGGGAAGCCCCATGGAGCTGGCAGGAAGATTTTACACCTTGGAGTTGCTGCCTGGTCAGAGCCTGTCCAGCTTTGGGGCCATACCCCTGGTTTTGCCTGGAGGGGAAGCTGAGGCTCGTGCAGTGGTGGCACCAGCCCTGGCCTTCTCCGTTACCTGTCACCTGCGTCCCCAAGCACCGTGCCAGCTCCGTGTGCCTGTGGCACCAAAGGCTGGTGTCACCTAAAGGCTTCTGTCCCTGTAGGGCTGCCTGGAGCAATGTCCAACGACCCGCCCCCACCCTACCCGGGGGGCCCCTCGGCTCCGCTGATAGAAGAGAAGCACGGCCCACCCTCTGCACCAGGTACTGGGGGTGTCCCCTGCTCGGGGGTGTCACTGCCAAAGAGACAGCACCCAAGGAGGTGTGGGTTCCCTGGGACTGCCCTGGCTGTGTCCTACCCTCACAGCACGCTGGGAAGGGTGGTACAATGCCTGGCTCCATCTGTCCCTATGTCACCCTTGGGGGAGGCAGGAGGGGTCCTAGGGGCAATGACAAGAGCAGGAAGCACTCCCAGCTCAAAGCCTGGCACTGCTCCCTGCTGTGGGGTGAATTTGGATTTCTTGTGGCCCAGAGGATGTGGCTTAGGAGGGGGTGCCTCCCACCTTTTGCCACTTCTTGTCTCCCTTCCGTGTTGGGGTTGACATCCTGAGCACACAGCTAGGACACCATCTTCCCCTCAATTCTACTGCCTCCTTGGCTGTTGACTGTGTTTCTTTCCAGAGGGTGTCACCCCAGTGGTGGGACAGCCCCAGGGGGTTCCTATCCCCCCTCCTGAGTTCGGACCCCCCCCATATGAGCCACCCTCGCAGCCGGGGTTTGTGCCCCCTCACATGCCCACGGATGGCTCTGGGCCCTACGTGCCACCAGGTGAGTCCTGCAAGGGGTTGGGGGACACAGGGTGGGGATCAGCAGCAGCACGTGTTTCCTGGTGCTCTGGGGAGTGGGGAGACACAAGAGGGGGTTGGGGCTGCCCTCTGGAGCTTGCAGTGAGGTTCTTTGGGATGAGGTTTGGGGCACAGTGCCTGTAGCAGGGCTGGCCCCAAGTCTGTACTCCAAGGGTGGTGCTGCAGCAGAGTGGGGGCTTCCCCAGTTAGGATTAGACCCCTCCTGCCATGTACCAAGGTGCTCACTTGTGTTTCTCATTCACAGCAGGATACTACCCACCCCCAGGCCCTCACCCTCCCATGGGCTACTACCCTGCCCCAGGCCCCTACCCCTCTCCTGGTGGCCACACGGCCACAGTGCTCGTCCCACCGGGAGCCGCCACGACAGTCACAGTGCTGCAGGGAGAGATCTTCCAGGGTGCCCCCGTGCAGACAGTGTGTCCCCACTGCCAGCAAGCCATCACCACCAAGATCTCCTACGAGATTGGGCTCATGAGCTTCCTTCTTGGCTTCTTCTGCTGCTTTGTGGGGTAGGTGCTGCAAGCAGGGCTGGGGCCTCCTGTTGGGTGCTCAGCCTGGTCCTGGGAAGTCCCAGTCCTGGTGGCCTTGGCTGAGCTGTTGGGATTGGAGGGGACCTTGGCACAGAGGTGGCAGTGGAGCAGCAGAGGTTCCTAGGGTGGCAGCTCCTACAATTACTCACATCTCTTGCCCATGGCCCAGAGTGAATGAACCCCATGCCCAGGGGCTGTCCCAGCTCAGCATCTCTGCCTCTCTCTGTGATCCAGGTGTGATCTCTGCTGCTGCCTGATCCCCTGCCTGTTTGATGACTTCAAGGACGTGACACACACGTGTCCCAACTGCAAGGCCTACATCTACACGTACAAGCGCATGTGCTAACGGCACACTGTGCACACTAACGGGAGCCACTGAGCGCCACCGGCCCTGGTCCCGTCCCGCCGCGTCCGTCTCCGCCTGCATCACTCCTCGCTTCCCTGCCGGTGCTGTGTATGTGTTATCCCCGGCTCCCTCCCTGCAGAGCTGCCAGTACCTGCCCCCAGCTCTGCTCCTCACTGGGAATAGTTGGATTGGTGACACTGGTGCACAGGGGAGGTGGACCGAGGCCCCAGACGGAATGTGGGGGCTGCCGTGCAGTGCACAGGAGTGGGGGGCATCACTCTGCACCCCATTATGCTCCAGGATGCGAGTGAGGCCCCTCTCACCTGGAGCGACCCTGGGAAGAGCAGCAGCTGCTGGAGGTGCCCACCCCAGTCCCACAGTGCAGGGGGTACCTGGCTGCAGGTGTGTGCTGGGACGGGAGCAGCCCGTGGGCCCTCAGGGGATGATGCAGCACAGTCGTTGTGACACTTTCAGGAAGGGGCTCAGCGACAAGGAGACAGGACAGTGCCACACACCAGGTTTCCGTGTGGTTCACAGCCCCCTCCAGCCCGGTTGCAAAGCCCCTCCCTTCCCGAGGGGAGGCAGAGCTGCCTCTGAGCACGGAGAGGAGCCCGGCAGCAGCACTGCACCCTTATCAGCACCTCCGTCCTGCCCGGTGGCCACTCCAGCTGCATGCGCCTCCTCCCAGCCCCGCCGCGGTTCCAGGGACAGGGGCAGCCCCGAGCAGCCCTCGCCCCCCGGCAACCTGAGAGCCAAAACCGCACCCGGCATGTCCTGGCCGCCCGGCACGTAGAGTAGAGGAGTTTGTTACCAGGCCCAGCAGGGTCTGTAGGGTCCTCCTTGCATGTGCTGTAGGGGGTATTTTTAGCTCACTCCTGTGGGGCAGAAGGAAGGGGCAAGCAAGCACCGACAGGAGCTGCCAGCAGCACTCCCAGAGCAGGGGCAAGAGGATCTGGGAGCCAAGTTCAGCCTCTCGGGGCTGCTCCTCCCTCCCCTGCCCCTGCAGCTCCCAGAGCTAAGTGGAGGGGGTGTCTCTCAATGCACAGGTCTGCAGACACAGCCTGGCCTGCACAGGCAGCTGCTGTTTGCTCAGGGGTGGAACTGTGGCACTGTGGTGTTTTTATGTAAATAAATAACAGACCCTGAACTCTTGTGCATGTTTTCTTCTCTCACACTCAAAATTCACAGCAGATCTTCCTGCAGGGGAGCTGAGGACAAAGGGGTCGGGGTACAGCGGTAAAAAGCACAGGAGAAAGAGCAGCAGCTTCCCTACCTTACAGGAAGCCCCTCAACACAGGAAAGCACCAAGCCCTGACAGCACCTGGCTGTGTCCTCTGAGCAGGGCAACGAGCCTCCCCACATGGAAACCCCAGGGGAAACAGTAGGGCCAGTGGGGTGCTCGGGCAGGAGTTTCTCAAGGACTGCATGAGTCAGAGACAAATGAAACAGTGTGGGACTGCACCCCCTTTCTCCCCCTTAACCCCCCTCCCCATTCTCACAATGATATGCTTTTAGCTTTCCCCAGCTACAGCATTGCAACTTTTTATTCCAGTCAAGGCTTCAGGAAGAATAACCGACAACCAACCCTCAACCCCAAAGTTGCACAATACACATTTGTCACCTCCATGTCCCACCATGGTCCTGCCCCCATCCCCAACAGGAGTCAGACTTGGTTCCCAGGACATTGCACCAAACAGGACACTCCTTTGAGATAACAGCCCCATGGCACAGCCTCAGCTTCTCGGGGTAGGAAAGCAAGTGCTCGTTGTTTGGAAGGCTGATAACATGTTCTGCAGATGCAACCCAGGGCAAGAAACCCCCCTCCAGACACTGCTTCAGGGATGGAGATGAAAAGCCAAGCATGTGAAGCCTTTGCCAGGACAGGACAGGACATCTCTGGGCAGGGCAGTGCTGCAGTGGAGTCCTCACCCCCGGCACTAACCATTCCTGTGCACTAGCCAGCTAAAGACGTTGTGTTACAGCAGCGTGCAAGGAGGCTTGGACAACCCCACAGGATTCCTGTTTATTTCCTTACTCCCACTCTGTAGTCAACTCACCACCAGCAAGGGAAAGGTCAGAAAATGGGCAGGGCACATCTCTCCCCTTGCCCCCAAGCAGAGCCACACTGTGCCCATCACAGGATGTACCAGGCTGCAGCTCCTGCTGCCACAGCCATGCAGGCTGCCAGCATCAGCTGCACCAGGGGCTGCCTGGCCAGGCCCAGAGCAGCATGGAAGGGGCAGCCGGGGCTTGCCGTGCCTGCAGGACACAGAAAGCACTGTTAGCACTGCCAGTCCTGTGCCACACACCCATGGCAGCCCTCTCCTTGCCACCACCTACCCAGTTTGTCTGCATAGTACGGGCATTTGCGGATGTCTCCTTTTCCATCATGGACTGGGAAGCCTCCATCTTGGGCTTCTTCTGCCAGCGACCTGCCGATCTTGTCCAGCTCATCAAACACCTGCAAGTGGTCACAGTGAGCACGTGAAACAGGCAGAGCCAGGCAGCTCTCAGCCAGACCCCTGGGATCATCTGGGGAACACACAAGCACCACTCCTGCTTCCCTGTCCCAAGACGCCTTCCAGGGCATCCACTGCAGAGCTGTGGTGACACCTGGCACACATTGCAGCTCCAGGAAGGCACAGCCCAGCCCAAGAGCATTCAGTCAGAGCCAGGAGCAAGGCAGCACCGCCCTGCTGCTCACTTCCCAGCCTGCTCTAGGCAAATGAGGCTCTCCCCTCTCTGCTGCAGACCCTTGGAGGATCCCAGCCCCTGCAGTGGTCAGGCAGCCCCTCTCACTGCCATGGCATCCTGACAAAGGAGCCAACCACACCTCACCATGTTTCTGGCCGGTTTAAATCATACTGACCTGCTACAAGCACAAGATTAAAACTTGCATCCAGTAGCAAAATCTGTGTTCATCCCTAGGGCAAATAGCAGCTCAGTCAGGTTTGATGAGAGGCAAATGCTATGGGAGGAACAGAAGGCTCCAGACATTTCTGCCATAAGGCAACAAGTCAGACTTGAGACAGGAGATGAATTATCACCAGGGTGGTGCAGCACACTCAAACTGTTTGAGGCTGTCTTAGCACAAGAGCTCTGTTCCCTTCACTGCTTCACAGCCACACAGCCTATGGGAATCTTGAAGTCATATTAATTTTGCCTTAATCAAAGGGCTTGGCTGTGGTGTTGGAGCATGACAGGAATTCCTGGCTGACACCAGTTCCAGAAGCTAATGAAAGAGCTAGTTCAACTAGAATCCCAACCCCTCAAGGAGGAGCTGTGGTGGTCTCAGCCCCAGACTGAGTGAGTGGTGTGTCCAAATTAACCTGCAGCACCTACACACACAGAAGATAAAGGGATTTGTTTAGTACCTGCATGTTAAATCTGAAGGCTTTGTTGGCCTCTTCCACAATCCTTTCCTTGGTGTTCTTGTCCAAGTCCAGAGCATTCATTCTTGCTCTGTAAAGCTGCTTGAACTGCTGTGCGTTGGAAATGTTGTCAAACACGTAGAATTGGATCCCTTCCTCAGTACTGGGCAACTTCAGGGCCCTCTGGGCTACCTTCTTGAGCACCTGGCCACCTGAGAGGTCCCCCATGTAGCGTGTGTAAGCATGAGCCACCAGCAACTCTGGCTCGTGTTGTCCCACATGATGGATTCTGTCCACATATTGCTGAGTTGCCTCTGAACACTGGATCTTTTCGTTCCAGTCGTCCCCATAGAAATATTTGAGGTCTTTGGCCAAAGCTTCTCTCCGGTGAAGCTCTACGGGGAAATACAGAGGAGCAAAGACTGGGTTGTCCTTGTTGTGATCCATCTCCTCTTCCAGAGCAGAGTAGGTGAAGTAAAGGGCCACGGTGGCCAGCTATGGATAGAGCACAGCTCATGTGAGAAGCTGCTCACTAGGCGGGCACAACTCATCCCATGACTACTCCTGCCTACATGGAATTGGGGTAAACAAGAGGAAACCCCCCAGGCCTGGCACAAAACCAGCCTGGAGAACCTGTACCAGGCAGGCACTGCTTGAAGGAGCAAAGGCTCTGCTTTTTCTACCACCATAGCACCCCCAAGGCTGTGGGGCTCTGAGTGCATTAAAGAGATGGGGAGCAGAGCAACACTCACCTTGAAGAGCTCCTTCTTGATGCGTCCCTTGAGGAAGTCTTTGACAAACTGAGTGTTCTCTGCACGGTCGTGAGATTCCTTCGTCCCCTCCTTCAGCAGCTCTGAAAGGTCCATGGGGCTGCAGGAAACACGAGAGCTCCTTCACCCCACTGCCCCATGCAGCAATGAGTTTGTCCCTGCTGTGTTTGGAGGGATGTCCAGTATCTACCACCCCAGTTTAGTGAATGTAGTACAAGGTGGACCCTCAGGCCACCCCGCAGGTTGAGCTGGCAGCTGCTGGAGGAAGCAGCAGGGTGGCAGCAGTCCATGTGCCAAGGAGGGCTCCAGGAGGGCTGGGGCTGCCCAGGGGCTCTGGCCCAGGGTGCTGAAGCAACTGCCAAGGGCCTGCTGATCCCTGCACCATGACTTCTGTTTCTCATCCATGTGAGCCCAACAACACTACACAAGGAAGCCTTGAGCATATGGGGAGCAACTATCAGGGCAAGCTAAAGGGGCCTTGGTGGTATCTTCTGTTGGAGAAAAAAAAAAGGCTCAGGTAGGTCCCCAGCTTTCCCAACTTGGGTATCAACTGTTAGAGAAGAGATAAGAGCTGAATGTCAAAACAGGGCAAGAACACCCTTAAAAAGTTTATTTCTCCTGAATTACACAGGTTTTTCAAGTTTCCACAAGGTGTCTTGTTTTAAAAAAAAAAGACCTAAAACATTTAAATCTATGATTTTAGGCTACAGGCACTGTACCTACCTGGACACAGAATCATAGAACAAACTAAGTTGGAAAAGACCTTTGAGATCATCAAGTCAAACCTATGATCTAACACCTCCTCATCACCTAAACCCTGGCACTGAGTGCCACATCTAGTCTTCTTTTAAACATACCCAGAGACAGTGACTACAACACCCCCCGGGCAGAAAATTCCAGTGCCCAGTCACTCTTTCAGTGAATAATTTTTTCCTGATACCCAACCTAAACTTCCCCTGGTGCAGCTTAAGGCTGTGTCCTCTCATTGTGTCAGTGGTTGCCTGGGGAAAGAGACTGACCCCACCTGGCTACAACACCTTTCAGGTAAACACTCAAATCATGCCAAAGTGCACCCTACAGTTTTTATCACTAGTTTGCTACAGCTAGCACATTTGTGTCAGCTCTAAGAGAGACTTGGAACACTCCAGACCCACTGAGTGTGCCAGCAAACATGAACTTCTCATGAAGCTGAGCCTGTCAAGTCAAAGAGGTCAACCAGCCTGTCTAGGTCTTCTAGGAAGCACTCTCATCACTCTTCCTGTTCTCCAAGTCTGAAGCCTTGGCTTTTAGAACATGTGTGTGAACTTGTTTTTTAAAGTAACCTCCTAGAAAGTGTCCTTGCCTAGACCTGAGTATTCTGCAAAGGCAAGAGCTCACCAGACTGGAGTTCACCTCTAGAGTCAGTTTTCAAAACAAGAAGCCTGCCCAGCAAGCCATGGAAAACTGCCCCCCCCTTGGCCAGGAAGACACAAACACAGCTGCCAAATAGTCAAATGTTTCTGAAATGTGACTTTCACAGCAGAGACAAAAAAAACCAGTTTGTTGTCAGGCCTTCCAGATAATTTTTTCCCATCCCTTCCACCCTTACAGTACAGTTTGACAAAAGAGATTTCACAGCACATGTATTTGATTAATCATTTACTGGGGTCCCTCACTTCTTTCAGATGAGAAGGATCACTCCTCTACCTGGATGATCTCTTGCCTTGCCCAAGGCTGTCTGTGCCAATGAGTAGGACAGAACTCACCTGACAGCATCATCTTCAATTTCCTCATAGTGCAAGACGTCTTCCTCTCCCCCTCCTGGGCTCTCCAGGGCTGATGGCATTGTGATCACTGCTGGGGATCAGTCTGAAAAGCAAAATCAGAGGGGGGTTTTCAGGGGAAGCTGCCTTAGCAAAGGGATGGGTGTGAAATGTTGAACAGTCCAGCAAGGAGCTCTCTGAGCAGCTCTACCAGGCAGGGAATTGAAGAGCCTCTGGCTCTTTCCACCTCACACCAGGCACTTCCAGGATGCAGATTTGTCTGTTCAGTTCAGCTACCTCAGGTGAGCCTCAACACTGACACCCAGTTCACAAAATACTAACTTCAGAGGAGACCTACAACAAAGCACCCTGCTGTGTCCCCCTTCAGGATGGCTCCTGGCTGAAAATGAGACCTCCGTGTCGGGAATCAGCACTGTATTTGTGAGCAGGCTGCTTTCCCCTGGTGCTACCAAATATTTCCCCCAAATGTCACACACTAAGCAGAGTAACTGGAAAGGGAAGCCCCTCTCCTTCACTCAGGAGGAAGAGCAAGCTATATGTCCACACCAGTACAAAGTTTCCCTGGAAGGAAGCAGTGTGAATTAGGCCAGCTGAGCTCTGAAGTCAGGCAGCTCACAGGGGAAACAAGATCGTGACAGAATAGAGGAACTTCCAAAGCAGGGGCAGATCTCACTGCTCTGCCTTTCCTGGGCCACTCTCCAAGCACAGTGAGCTGCACACAGCTCTTGCTCCCACTCACATCCTCCTTTCCTACCTGGCAGAATTTACTTCAAATCTCATAAGTAAACTGGGTTCCCCCTTCCCATTTGCAAAAGGAAATAAAACCTCCTTGGATGTAACAGGATGCACAACCCTTATCCAGGAGCAGGAACAAGACACCCCTGGATTAAACTGGCTGAGCACAGAAATCCAGGCACCTCATCTATCAAATGGACCTGTAATCAGCTTTGTGCAGAGTAACACCACCACCAACAACAGCTTTCAGGCAGCCTTGGGAGAGGAGCAGGGAGCTAAGCTCACCAAGAGAACCATCCTCATGCTCCCTCACTGCAGTTCAGCCCCCCTTGCTGGGCTGCATCCATAGAGTCACTGCTCAACCCATGCCTGGGGACTGGGAGAACCAACAAGCAGCTGCCTCAAGCTGGTCAGCACAGGGCCAGCACTGGCACAGCAGCTCACACGAGCACACTGATTAGAAATTAACTGCTCTCCAGTTCCTCACCCCAGAGTTTCTAAGCCCTGTTCCACAGCCACCCTCAGCTCTTCACACTCCAACCAGGAGCAAGGGCTGAGCCCCATCCTCACGTGCAGCAAAAGGCTCCCCTCAGCTCAGGCACAGCACCTGCTCTGGGGGACTCCTCACCAGGTGAAGGTTTCCCCTGTGATCACACAGTCTTTTACATTCCCTAGGACAGAGCCTTCCCCAGGGGAAGACTGACCAAGTGCATTATTTTGTGATGCCAGGAGCCCAGGGCTGGGACAGAAGTCATTCAGGGTCATAGGGGGTGGCAGCCCTACATTCCCACCACCCCTCCCTTGACACTGTGCAGTCTGCCCATCCCTGGGTAAAGGTCAGGCCAGAAACTTCAATTGCTGTGCTGTCTATGTGATCACTCACCAGGCAGCTCAACTCAGGGACCATCTTCACTCCTCACACAGCTTCAGCTCTTGGGAAACTCCCACTGTGGGGAAGGGAAACCAAAGCACAAGGGCAAACCAGCCACCTGAGCTCAGCCAGGAGCCTGTCACGGGCACAGGAGGAAAAGCACATTCACCATCTGCCACTGCACATCACCAGCTCTGTGCCACCCTGCCTGCTCATGGCAGCCCAGGACCTCCTCAGGACATGCAGATTCCAAAATAAAACTAGACAAACTAGTTCCAATTTATCTTATATTCCCAGAAAGCTAGAATCCTGGAGGTGAGGTGTGCTGTCTCCACACGCCTGCAACAGCCACCAGTACAAAGCAGCAGATGAGAGCAGAGCTAAAGAACACTTAAGCTGCACTCATCCCTTGGGAGAGTCCTGAAGGCTGACATCAAATCCTGTCCAAAGGAACACACCACGCCAGGCCTCGAAAATTAGTGGTTAACAGCAGCAATGGCCCAAGGTTCCCAATGGCCAAAGATGGCCCTGAGATCACCACATCTGCTGCTCATGGGAGCCTCCACTCCCACAGCCTGAGCACACTCCTGTTCACACAGGAACTTGGTTCTCTGTGTCACACAGGGAATAGCAGGGTCTCAGAAGCCTTCACCCCACCCTGTTACCAGTGTTATACAAGCACAACTAATGGAAATGTCCCAGGAGAACAGTCTGCTGTTGGGAGCAGAGGTTACCATGCAAAAAGTCACTGGAGGCTTTTTGTGCATTCTCAGACCTGTATTTTCCCTGCCATGTTTTGCAGGGCTCAGCCTGACAAGCTCTCCGTGGCAGTGGGCAGGGCAGTGCTAACACCAGTCCCTGCAGCCCCAGGTGAGGGCAGAACTCCTGCAGAAAAATGTGGAAGTTGAGATTTTTCCCAATATAGTCTCTAGCACAGACACCTCCCCAACAAGACAAGTCAGCACAAACCAACCCCATGCTGGGTTATTGCAGAACCAGAAGGAAAGGCAGCCAGAGCCACTGTGTCTCATACCACCACACACCGTTGCTTTTACTCAAAAACTGGCAACTACAAGCCCCAGTTTGTGGTCACAGTCCTGGTTTCTCTGCTCCTCTGAACCGGGGCATGTCCTACATGCCAAGGAGGAGGCTCAGGCAGTGCCACCTCCTCTGCAGAGGCTGGAACATTATTTCATTTGCTGCAAGGAACTCTGCTCATCCAGGACCTGGCTGATGTTCAGGGTACCTCCCAGTGCCCAGACAGAGCCTGCCTAGGAGCAATCCAACAGCTACCAGTTGGGATAGCAGGGCTGGAGAGTGGGAGGAGGTTTGGTACAGGACACCTCAGCATTCCAAACATTTCTTTCCCAATGACAGTGTTCAAACCGCCTGAGAAAACACCTCTATCTCATCTAGATGTGTGCAGTGTGTCCCTGCACACATCTCCTCACCAAGCTGCACACCCCAGATGCACGGCTGTTCTTCTCAGGGTAGGAAGACATTTAATCCAAATAATCCCAAGCCTTTCGAAGGAAGAAGACACTGATGATGCAGGGAAGGAAGACTGGAAGCCCTAGATTTTCTTGGGCACTCCGGGAGTTCAGTAACTCACAAACACCCAGGGAATACAGAGCTCATATCTGCTGTTTAACTTTCATGCAACTTCAAGGCGTTTCCCCATACACAAAGCCCAGAGTGTGGTTGGACCTATCATCACTGCAGTGGAAACAAACCTCAGAACCCCAGGCCTAGAGGCTTGAAGAATCATCCCAGAGGTTACCTGGCAAGCCCAGCAGGAGAGATTCTCATCTCCATCTCCTTCTGGGGAGAGATTTAGCACTGGCTGCTGCTGGAAATGGAGCCTCACAGACTAAATTACCACATTACCTGATCCCAGGTACGTTAAAGATTTCACCTGGACACAGCCTAAATTGAGGCAGCAATTCAAATCCCAGACACTTTTAGCAGCACTCACACAAACACTACTTCTGTCTTCTAGAGTTGCAGCCCAGCACCTCAACAAACCGACCAAAGAAAGTTCCTGGTGACCTCAAGGACCTTTTCCAGTTCTGCCCTTTGGTGGTGGCCCTTGTGTCAGGCAGCCCATCAAGAATTTGTTTTCTCACCCTGGCTATGAAAACAGTCAAGAGGCAAGTCAGGGTTGGATCTGGGCTGAGAAAGAATACATTGTGACAGACACACACAATTATACTAAACAGCCTTTGTTCAGCACAGAGCCAGTGCTTGCCCATGTCGGCTGTCAGCTGTGTGTGGGACGTACCAAGCAGGGCCTTAGGACTGATACATGCAATGCAGTGCTATGTGTAGGTGCTGAAGCTTGAACAGGACAATCGCCAATAATGGAAAAGGAGGAATAGCAAGAGGCTTGCATTCCCAAATGCTTCTCTGAGCTCTGCGGGGCCAAGGAAAACCAAGTGGCCCCGTGGCCATCGGGAGCACGCAGAGCAGGGCTCCGGTCCCCGAAGCCCCAGGTGTCGCTCACGAGCAGCGGTGCAAAGTCACTGCGGGACTCAGGCCCCAGTGCTGGCACACGTCGCCGGCCGCTGGGCAGGCGCTCGCTCGTGGGGACCCACGGCAGGACCAGCGAGGGCTGAGAACAGCCAGAGCGGCGGGCGGGCAGCGCCCGACCCCACACGGGCACACGGCTCGCGGGTGGGCGTTGTGGGCCCGGGCGGCCCGGCCCGCACCAAGGCGGTCATGTCGGCCGCGACAGCCCCGGGCCCCAGTGGGCAGCGGCGCGGAAAAACGGCTGTGAGGCGGTCCGGGAGGGCTTCCGGCCCAGCCACCACCGGGAGGGGGCAGAGCCCCGCAGCGTGAGCGCCAAAGCAGAGGGGAGGCCGGCAGGCCCAGGCCCGGCCGCGTTGCCATGGGGACGCGCCGCGCACTCACCGCTACCGCTGCTACCCTCGGCCCCGCCGTAAGACAAAGGCCCCGCGCGAGCGGCCCGGCTTTATTGCCGAGGGGTCACGGCGCGGCCAATCAGGAGCCGCGCACGGCACGCGCCGGCGATTGGCGAAGGCGGCCAAGACGCCGCGCGGAGCCCCCCTCTGGGCGGGCGGCGCGCGACGCCGCGCACGCGCAGCAGCACCGATGGGTGGGGGGCGGGGAGTCACGTGACACACGAACCACGCCCACCACTCACATTGCCGGTCCCGCCCCCGGAGGGCGGCCGGTGTGCAAACCTGCGCATGCGCAAGCAACGCCACGCCACGGCAACCGGAAACGGCGGCCGAGAAGAAAACACGGCGGCAGCGCTGCGGTATCGGCGGTTTTATTGGCGGCTGCAGCAACGGCACGCAGCGCAGCTGCCGCTCCACAGCCACTGCAGGGCCGCGAGAACACACGGATAGCCAGCGCAGGGGGCCGAGGCCACTGGGCTTTGGGCATCTTTGGGCTGCGGCTCCAGCCCGTGGGCTCAGGGAGGGAGCTCAGCGCCTCTGAACATAGAGCAGGAGCTTCTGTTGACCGAGTGTTGCAGGCTTTAAGATGGTCCGAGTGCTTCGCTCTATTGTCCACATGTGGGCGTAGAGTCGTTTACCTTCCTCAGCCTTTTCAAATCACTTCCTTTCTCTCCCAGGAGCTTTCCCTCTGAACACCATCAACTGCCTCTGATGTGTCCACGCTCTCCTCCAGACCTCCAGTTCTTCGCACTGACTCTCCCCTATTTGCACCTCTCTCCTTTAGGACTCGTTCTCCTGGAAGAAAGTCCTTCCCACTCCGTGAGCAGGGCAGTCAATGGAGAGAACGGAGGCACAGGGACCAAGGGGATCAGAGTCTAGGGATGCCCCGCCCTGTGGACACGCCGGTGCCGCAGGAGCGCGGAGCTCACGGCGAAGCCTCTCCCGCAGTCGGCACAGGCGTAGGGCCGCTCGCCGGTGTGGGTGCGGCGGTGCTGGGTGAGGTGGGCGCTCTGCCTGAAGCTGTCCCCGCAGTCAGTACAGGCGTACGGCCGCTCCCCGCTGTGCACCCGCCAGTGCCGCAGCAGGGCCGACCTCCACAGGAAGCTCTTCCCGCACTCCGTGCACTCAAAGGGGCGCTCCCCGGTGTGGAAGCGGCGGTGCTGGATGAGGTGGGAGCTCACCGTGAAGCTCTTCCCGCACTCGGAGCACCCGTACAGCCGCTCGCCCCTGTGGAACCGCCGGTGCTGGATGAGGGCCGAACTCACGGTGAAGCTCTTCCCGCACTCGGAGCACTTGTATGGCTTCTCCCCGGTGTGCACCCGCTGGTGCTTCACGAGCTCGGAGCTCTGGCTGAAGCTCTTCCCGCACTCGGTGCAGCCGTAGGGCTTCTCCCCGGTGTGGACGCGCCGGTGCCGAGCCAGAGCCGAGCTCACGCTGAAGCTGCTCCCGCAGCTGCTGCACGTGTAGGGCCTCTCCCCGGTGTGGACGCGCCGGTGCCGAGCCAGAGCCGAGCTCACGCTGAAGCTGCTCCCGCAGCTGCTGCACGTGTAGGGCCTCTCCCCGGTGTGCACTCGCCGGTGCTGCACCAGCTGGGAGTTCCCGGAGAAGCTCTTGCCGCACTCGGCACACCTGAAGGGCTTCTCCCCGGTGTGGGTCACCTGGTGCCGCAGCAGCTTTGAGCTCACGCTGAAGCTCTTCCCACACTCGGAGCACTCGTAGGGCCTCTCTCCCGTGTGGATCCTCTGGTGCTGGATGAGATGGGAGCGCTGCCGGAAACGCTCCCCACACTCGCTGCAGGAGAAGGGTTTCTCTCCTGTGTGGATTCTCCGATGCTGGATGAGGTTGGAACTCACACGGAAGCTCTTCCCGCAGTCCCCACATATCATCAGTCTCCCCACAGAGGAATTTCTCTGCTGGGTAACATCTGGCAGCTTCCTGAAACTTCTCCCAGGCAGCATCACTCGGCTTTGCCTCTTCTCCAGAGCTCTCTGAACCCTTTCAGACCTCTGTGGGACGACTGGGTCCTGTGCAGGACTCTGGGAATTGTTCTCCTTGGACAGTCCTGAGAGTAAAACCTCAGGCTCTGCTGGCCCAGGGATGCCTTGGTGGGGATTCTTCTCTTTTTTGCTCACAATCCCATCTTCAGCTGCAATAAAACGAGAATCCAGATAGAAGTCACAGACAGGAAACTTTAGACAGGATAAATCAAAAGGGATCAAATTCTAAAGGTTGACCAGATTGACTCTTACAGAAAGTTCTGATATTTCCCTTCAAACTACACAGTGGATTTCTCAGTATGTTCACAGGAACAGATGCTGGTAACAGCCCTGTGTGCTCTTGACAGAACCTGAATCCACTGAAATTATTGGCAAATTAGAGGTAAAAGTTTAGTGCTTCAACAGGAAAGATGGCTGCTCTTCTAGGATATCTGAAAAGTTATTAAAAGCTGAATTGAGAATCATGGAAGTGCCACAAAGAACTGTCCTACTCAGCAGAACAAATGCAACATCCCTGATCTGCTGCTGGTGCTGCAGAGAGAAGCACTCCAAAAGGAGGCACTAAGGGATGGAATTAGATACCTCAAACGTGGCTTATGCCAGTCTTAGAGGCAGAAAAAAAGGCAACTTTTTGCTTCTGTGGATGCATGGAAGAACACACAGAACTGGGATGAGGAAGTGTTGTCTTGGAGCAGGAGAGGCACTGCACAACCAAGAAAGGAAGGAGAGTCCAGGATTACAGCCCAGAAGATAAAAGTACTCATCTGATCTTCCTCTCTCTGGGCAGTGTAAGAAAATATCACAAAGTGAATTCCTGAGATGCCTTTTACAGTAGCTTGGTGTGACACTGACACTTCATATAGTTTTCCGTAAAATTGTTCCATGAGAGCAACAGAAACTGGAACTTTGATAGCCATGTGTCCACAGCTACTCCAGCCACGTGGGATCTGGAGGAAGAGGGACATCCAAAGACAGGACAAGGACATTTCTGGCAGCCCAGCATGAAGCCTTTGCCCTGTGGGTCAGACTTACAGAGCTTGGGAAGTTGCTCTGTTGCTGTTGTCTGTAAAGGGTTTGATCAAAATCATGATGACAGGACCTCACGTGTTTTAAGTGAAAGGAGAATAAGTTCACAATGCTCAGGAACTTATACTGGAAGCATAAGGCTGAACTGGCAAAAATTAAGCAAAAGTAAAAGCAAACAAGAAAGGAAGAGTGTGGTTCTTCCTCAGCCCATGCCAATTTGGGTTGAGCTCAAGCCTCTGATATGTCCAAGACTGCCAGTGCTAAGATCTGAGTCAAGTTCCAGGTAAGTAGTGTAAGTGCAGACATTGGGGAAAAATCTAAATATCACCTTAAATGTACCCTTGGATCTCTTTCTCAAGAGAATCCACTTGGAGTTTTTCAGAGATGTCACCAATTTTACCAAAAGGAAGATCTGGAATCCAAAAGCATTCTCAAAGAAATTCATCCTTCGCCAAAATTGGTAAGGAAACTCAGCTGCTGTGGGATGAACGACCGTCGTGAGGTGGGAAGGAAGGGAAAGGGGAGGTGCTTATGATTCTGTTGTTCAGACACAAAAGCTGACTATAAAATGTGTCAGAGCCTTACAATACTGGCCAACCAGGTGACAGGGGAATGACAGAGAACATTCACTGCAGGTAAACAAAGAAGTGCAGAGGGGAACAGCCTCTACAGCAGGAGCTGGTATAGAGGGCTCCTCTATGGATGGGTCTAGGATGTTCTTGATATTATTCTGGAATAGTCCCTTGGAGCAGATGGATGAAAACTGCAGGCAGACAAAATAGCTCATCGAATGTCAATGATTTTCAGGGAAAAACAGAGAATAAAGAGAATGTAATTGTTCCCTTGCAGCTCAAACAACACACCTTGACTATGTGCAAGGGCAGGGATGGATCCTCCATTTCAGAGAAATTCCAATAGAACCGAGGGAGGTACAGAGCACGACACAAATAATAAAAGGCACAGAACAGCTTCTGCCTTGGAGATAAAGTGTACAGCTGATAAGGTTATTGCAGAGGACTGTGAAACTACAAGTGGCCTGTGGGGTGGGTAGGGATCCCTCCTGCACCATCTGCTCTGAATGAAGAAGTGATATGAAGTGAGCTATTAGAAGGCAGCTTCAAAGCAAACTAAAGAAGGCAGCAACTCACAAAGCAGCTGAATATGCTGTGGAACTACTGTTTGCAAGCTGTCACAGATGCTAAAACATGCACAACTTCAGATGGCAAAAAAATACAGAGAGCTGTGAGATACTGAGACATTGCACGTCTGCTTTAGTAGTTTCTGAAGACTACAGAAGTAGTCTTCAGAGTAGCTTCTGAAATTACAGAGTGCCAGGGCCTGGGAAAGAATCCAGGAACACACCACTGCCTGTCTGCCTTCTCTGGGAGCCAGCACTGGCTGCTGCTAGGGACCACTGAGTCCCTCCTGGTATCACCAGTGCTATACATTCTGGTAGGGTCTGGGAATCCTGAAGCAGTTTTTCTCACTGACAGGTTCACAGATGTGCTGGGTTAATGGTCAGACTCCATGATTTTAGCGAACTTTTCCCAACCTTAATGACTGTATGATTGTACTATCCCCTTACCTGCACAATTGCTGCTCAGCACTGCCTCGGACTTCTTTCGGTAGGCGCGAAGGTGGGAAAACCACAAAATTCCTCCTTCTGATCCATGTGGGAGATCATTTCCAGTTCTTTTCAGGGGACCTGCTCCGGGGGGAACACACGGGGCGGGTCAGACGGGCCGCGATTTACCCGACCCAGCAGGGGGTGGCTCTGCGGGGCGGCAGCTGTGGGGCTGTGGGGAGGGAATGCGGAGCCGCCCGGGTGAAGGGGGCTGCGGCGGCGGGGCCTGCCGGGGGTCCTAGCCCCGCCAGTGTCCCCGTCCCAGCCCCGCAGGTGTCCCCGTCCGTGTCCCCCTGTCCCCTCACCCGCGCTCGGCCCCGCTCGGCGGCTCCGCGGCCGCTGAGGCGCGGTCACGTGACAGGCAATGGTGGTCGATGGCGGCTCGGCGGGCGGTGAGGGCGGCCCGGGATGGCGGCGGCGGCGGGGCTGAGGGGATGGCGGTCTTGGACCCCGTCCCCTGCTGCCCGCACTGCCCCGAACCTTTCCCCCGTGTGCTGGGCGAGCCGCCACGGCCGCCGGGGTGTTTCCCTAAGAGACCTTAGCGGGGCTTCATGCGGGAAGGGAACACGGAGCCTTCGCTGCAGAGGCTCAGGGAACAAGACGCGATGGCAGCCACCGCTTTCTGAGGGAAGAACATTTCCAGAAGACACCGGAGCAGAATTCTATAGATTTGCGTCTGGGTTCCATGTCCTTCCAGGACATGGGTGCCCAGCCTGGGCCCTGTCACGGGCTGGAGCCACACAGGTCTCACAAGTGTTGTGAAGGGAGTAGTGGGATTTTGCCGATCTTGGGCATAAATCTAAATTCTTAGCAATCACCCATGATTTGAGTTGGAAGGGACCTTAAAGTTCATCCCATTCGACCCCCTGCCATGGGCAGGGACACCTTACACTATCCCAAACTGCTCCAAGCCCTGTCCAACCTGGCCTTGAACATTTGCAGGGATTTGGAGTCCAAATCTTCCCTGGGTAATCATAGGGATGACTCTGCCAAAGGCTGCATCCCTCTCCCAGGCACCTTGTGTTTCATTAGACATGTGACAAAAAATGCCTCCAGAAAAAATTTTATACTGGAACAATACGGAAAGCAAACCAGCACATTTAAAATGCGCTTTCTGAGCAGCTCCAAGTCCCCTTGAAGAACTGCAGGAAGGATTGCTCTCGGATTTATCCCTTCCATATCTAAACACTGGCACTGTAAGTGTGGTTCTGTTGGCCCAGTACCAGAGAAAGGCACTGCAGTCACCACTCTGGGCTTTACAGCATTCTCCTATTTTTTTAGTTCAGCTGGGCCCTCCAAGGGTCTTGACCACGATGAGGGATTGCAGGCAATCATGAAATGCCATTAAACAGGGTGACTGTACACACAGAACTGTGCCTGTGTGAGAAAACAGCTCTCTTCTCAAATGCAGAATTATTTAATAGGCATCTGCAGCACAGCTTTTCAGAATAAACCTATTTAGGCTGTTTTTTTCAGGCAGGTAATCTGGCAATACACAAACTATTAGGGAGTATCCCAAACCAATCCCACTGTTCATTTGATTGTCACAGCAAATTTAGAAGTTCACTCTTATATGCTCACATAAGACAGAAACATTGTGCAATGACAATAACATTTCTTTAATTGAAAAAACCAACAAATACTTTAGTTGATTTTTTGCAGCATTGAAAGTATTAAAAGCAACAGAAATATAAAACTAGTTTTGGTAACTTACTGCACAGTTGGAAATAAAAAATTATGACAGTGTATCTTCCAAGACATAGGAGCATACTTTAGGAACGTAACACCCAGGGAAATATCTACAAATTCAATTGTTTAGCAATGCATTGGCACTGGCAGATGGCAACACCAGTGTTAACTCAGTCAGGCCTGCTCTGCTCAGAGATTAATGAAGCAGGAGAATGAGACAGGATTCAGATAATTTACAGTATATTTGAGGCGTGCCTTTGTGGTCTTGAAGGCTTCAAAAGATTTTAAATCCTTTCCTTATTATCTAAGAAAACTTTTAGAATTACATTGTCAACTTCAGCAATAAGGAGGCATCAAAGCAGGCATCTAAAAAGTAGTCAGTTCCAAACCCTGACAGCAAAGATGTGGCATTTAAATTCAATTATTTTTTCCCCATGTAGAACAGTGTTTTAAGACATGATGTAATTTGAATTATTGTAATTTATATCCACTGAACTGGGATGCTACCTCCAGTGAAGGTAAAGATGTAATAATTGATCACAAAATCTTTGATTGTGGATATGTCTTACCTGAAACCACAACAAGAATAGTGGGAAGGGATATTTATATTCCCATATTAAGACTGGTTAGTAAGACTGAGGCTTTTCCATTTGTGACGTGTGTACTTGAGAGAAATACAAGTACACTGAGGGAATAGCATCAGCTGAAAAGCCAGTTAAGGAAAGCCCTGTCTTTCTCAAAATAGTCATTCCTTGCAACCCTTGGTGAGGAAGGTGGGAGAGGAAAAGTTCAGTTCCCTTCCCCAGCATCCCAACCATCCAAGGTCAGCTGGACTGTACACCACAGACCCTCCAGACTTGCGCCTGTGGAGGTTTAGACTGGACACTAGAAAGAATTTCTACCCAGAAAAGGTGACTAGATATTGGAATGGGCTGCCCAGGGGAGTGGAGGAGTCACCAATGTGGGAAGGGTTTTAGGGCAGACTGGATGTGGTGCTCAGTCACAAGGTCCCTCTCCCAGCTTGTGGCTAGCATAGGGCCACTATAGTCACTCTGGTGGCCATGGTGGTGATTGGTAACAGGTTGGACCAGTGATCTCACAGGGCCATGTTCTACAGCTGTTTCAGACACACAGGTTTAGGAATGTTAGTAGCAATTGCAAAGTGAACTGAGTTAAAAACAAAGGCCTTATATGTATTTCCACAACAATCTCTGCCTTAAAAATCAGCAGGACAAACTGAGTGGCAGAACTACAGATGGAAGTCAAAGGAGTGTAAATAGGCAAAGCTGGAGAGAGTGGATTGAACACAGGGTAAAGCATTTCACAGCCAAAAATCAGGGGAGGTTTGGGTTGGACATCAGAAAGAATTCCTTCCCATAAAGAGTGATCATATGTTGGAATGGGTGGTAAATTAATTGTGGCAGGATGTGTTCAAGCTAAGCCTGACTGAGACAATCATGGCTCTGGTCTAGTTGCCATGGTGGAGCTGGGCCCCAGGTTGGACTCACTAATATCGCAGGGCTCCAGCTGAATTGATGCCATTGTTCTGTGACATCAGAGGCTTTGGGGACAGCGCAGTGGTTGATGAGTGTCCCCAGCCCGTTGTTGCGCCCAGAGCCGAGGCACGAGTGGTCTGGGAAGGACGGGCAGAGGCTGTTGAGCGGTGGCAGCTTGGCCTTGAGCAGCACCATGGGCAGCCAGGGGCTCTCGTGGCTGCTGCTGCCGCTGTCGGCGCTGCTGCTGCTCTGGGTGGAGCCAGTGGAGCCTCCCAGGCCCGCTGCTGCCGGGGCCACAGGGAGCCGGGATGCGCTGCCCGAGCCCCTGGAAGAGCAGGAGCTGGCGGCCATGAGGGACGCCATGCTGGTGCTGGAGGCGCTGCCCTGGCTCTGCGCAGCCGTGGCCCTGCTTGTCAAGGGCCTTCGGCTGGGCTGGGTCCTTGGCCAAGGGCTCAGGAGGCGCTGGGGAGAGGTGAGGGAGGGGCTGGGGCAGCTGTGGCGGGGCCGGGAGCCGCCAAGGCCTTGGGGCAGGAGGGTGTGGGGCCAGGGCTGAGAGCCCCGTGGGGGAGCA